TTCTTACTATGATTCTTGCAGTTGTGGGAATCACTGTAATATTCAGTGTAATTGACAGGTGGTGCGTCGGCGTAAAGCTGCAAGTAAGGGCCATACTTCAAGTCAACAGCGGGCATCATTTCCAATGGCACGACCTCATGTATCAGAGAGCAAAGCTGCTTTCAAGTTGGAGCAGAGGATTCATAGCTCCAACCTTATTGAACATAACGGAGTTTCAAGTTCTCAGGATTCATCCAGTGAGAGGCTTGGCAATGGAGGTAAGAACTTCCAGCCATCCTGCATCACTATGGAGTACCAGGCTGTGGCTTCATTGTCTTTCTAGACACATTCTGAAAAATTATAAATGGTGTCATCCTTACACAAACTGATGTTTTTCTTAAAAGTTGGCTTGGAGCCAAAGATGGGATGGACAGCCATGTAGTTGGCCCTGGGTATGTTCATTGTTAGCTATAATTGGTCCTCTGCATAATATAAAATATTGTTTATTGTATAAAACAGATGAAGGAGACAGCAATAATTTATTTGGTTCTCGACGAGATCTGCACCGCCTGGCTGACACACCTGTTCCTGACTGGGTCGTGCTTGGTGAGAGTGTTCTTATCCGGCCATATAATTCATCCGGCGTCGTCGCCTACATTGGTGACACATACTTTTCTGGTGGTACCTGGGTTGGTGTAGAGCTCGATGCACCAACAGGTGAGCATATGTGTGTCTGTACCATTACTTGGTGATTTTAAGGGATTGTTTGGGGATAGATCTATTATTCAGAGGTATGTGAAAAATTTAATAGCCACCAAAATTAAATATATCATTAATGTAATGTAGTCTGCAGAACCCCTGTGATCTTGCCTCACACATTTTGGGAATCAATGCTTTAGCTGACTCTGAAACCAGTTCATTTTATATGAAAAATATTTTCATGATTTTGTGGACAGGAAGTCTGTTTTTGTTACGGGATATTTCTTTTACTGTTTTGCAGGTAAAAATGATGGGTCGGTGCAGAGTGTACGCTACTTCACATGCCGACCCAAGTGTGGGATTTTTGTGCGCGCAGATAAGCTGATTCAAGACCGACGGGGTCGAGCCATGCGTGTTGGCAACAGTCGGCAATCAGAGGGTGGCACTATGAAGAGAAGCAGTAGCAGAGGTGATTAATGCAGTATTTATTCTCTTGCAGGTTCTTTGTTATTTGTACATATTAGAGCATGCACTGTCTTCTCCTCCTCTGTACTTCATGGTATATTGGTCTCTGGCATGTTCTGACTTCCAACCAGGGTTCCAGAAATACAACTTAAATCCAAGAGATTCCAGGTTCTCACAGCAGTGAACATGTAGGTCACTGTCTTTTGGGTTGTGCCGCGTAGTCCGGTAAAAGTTTACCGATGTTTCCGAGTTGCTTGCTGCTGCCACCACAAGGCCTGTGGCCTGTAATGTCTGAATTAGAGGAATATCTGACAATGCAAAGTAAAATGGGTTTGTAGTTTCTGGTATTGCAGTGGCAGCTTTGGAAACCCGTTAGGGGACCCTAAAGTAAGTAGCTAAAGAGGCTATGGTGAAGCTGTAATAAGGTCAGAAAGTTGACAATGGATATAAAATTATTTTGAAAAATTGACACAGCCGTGTGAAAGAATGTTATCGTATGGGACAGAAAATAAGCTGATTACAAATTCACCTGTTAGACATGAATGACAGTATTTTTTTTTTCTTTAAGAGCTTTAGAGAGGAATATGTCAAATAGTGCCACGGTGGTCTAGCGGTTAGAAGGCTGGCCTTGTAATCCTGGGGTCTCGGGTTCGATTCCCGGCGGTGCCCGAATTTATAACTTGTGTTGGGCAAGGCCGTGGTCTAGGCAACACGGAGTTTTCCTCCGTGGCATCCCAACAATTACTCCATTCACACACAGAAGAAGGCAATGGCAAACCACTTCTGGATCATCTGCCAAGAACGTATATGAACAGGTCCCAATCCGAGAAAAGGATGGAAGGATCCTGTTCATATGGACCTGTCGGCAGACAGAACACTACAAATAAAAATGTCAAATAAACAACCATATTGAACTTGTATTGACCACTAGCCCTCTGGATCACAACCAGTGTCACTAGTATAAAACATTGTCGAACATATTTGCAGTGTTGTGAATCGACCGTTGTTATAGTCCTGTAGAGATTTGTTAAATAAAATAGTAGTTGAAGAAGTCTTCAATGCTGTTGTTTTAGGGGAAGGTCTGTCTACACTTCATCGGTCCCGCAGCCGAGGAGAGGGAATCAGTTCTATCGGAACAAAGTCATTACCAAGGAATAAATAAAATTTGGTGTGATGAGAAGGTGTTATTACTAGTTAATGAGCAGATCCTGCTTGGGCTCTGGCCTTACTGCTTCAGTCTGATGGGGGCAACCTACCAACCAGTCAGCAGCCAGCTCACCGTCACCTCCTGTTGGTCAGACCCGCCATATGCACAGATTAGGTTAGGATAGATTTGAGTATTGTCACATAGATGAAGGCTTCATAAAGAAATCACGAGTAAGTAGTTTGAGGTAAATTAATGTATTTGCGTATTTCTTTTTCTCTGTATTGTTTCTTTATTTGCATCTTTTAAGGGGTGTATATTTTATGAACTTCAGGAAGTTTAAATATCAATAGATGTTAGTGTTTCTGTAATGAAGCTTATTTATTTTCAAATTACTTTATGTACATATTGAATTTATTTCTGATACCTCAAAATGCTTATTTGTGTGTGTGTGTGTGTGTGTAGGTTAATTGAAAATGTAATATATATTTCTATTTTATTCATGTTCTCGAAAATGGAATCAGTTTCCATTAATTGCATCTTCATACAAATGGCAACATTTTATAATGAAAGTTCTTCATAGAATAAGGCAGTCATTTTGTCTTGAATGAGAGAAAACGAGAAGTAAACTCAAAATGGTTGTCATTGTAATTTTTCCCTCCATAAATGAAATTTGTGCAGCTAAGAAAGATATTATTGTTGGTTTCAATTTTGCCCATTGGCATTTTATAGTACGTTGCTTTTATACGTATGAGGAAGGCTAATGGTGAGTTTGTCATATTTTCACATGACAAAAATTATGAGCCTCAAATATTGCATTATTACATTCTAGGAAGAATGTACTATTTTTCTCGAAAAATTGCGAACATCCTATGTATTTAGGATTTGAGACTTTCGCGGCCAAGAAGATTTTATTGATCCTCTGTATTTGTTATATTTTTCTTGTGCAGTGAATATCAGAATGTCTTGTTCATAAATAGTTTTTGTTGAAACCAGAAACTTCATTGTTTAAACAATAATCGTAATTTGTCTCATGGCACTGTATTTCACTATAATTTCTGCAATTCAGTATAGAAGGTTATATGCATTATCATACCAACCAGCAATATCGGACTAGCTCGACTAATATCTTTTGAAGGTTGTTGAGCATTGATTTAATTATTGCAGATAATTTTATTACTGCATAAGTGACACAGTGCTAAAGCAGTTGTGAAATTAATTTTAGTCTTGTGTTTCATTTGTTTATAAAGTACTGATTAGTGCCAGAAGCTTACTGGTAGTGTGAAAAATTGAAAATTGCAATTTAGTATTTTTTTTTTCCAAATGAATGTTAGAGGCAAACTATATAAATACTTCAAGTTGAATGTCTAGTCTTATCTTGATATTTTGTGAATGCACCAATTTATTAAAATGGAATGGTAATGTAGGATTGTACACGTATTTATCTCTAATTTCATCATCGCAGTTTTTTTAACTCTCTAACAGAGAAGAAATTTATACGTGTAGTGAGAGAATACTATTCGCAGAGTGAAGACAGATTTACAAAAACATAATAATTGATTTTTTTTCCACAGTGGCTTAATTGATTAATATTTTCTTCATTCTTTCTTGATTTTTAATAGTGAAGTGGATGTTCAGTAGATTGACAGTGTAAAGATTTTAAGAAGGTAATCATACAACATTCATATAGGATTTGAGACTTTCGTGGCGATTACAATCAATAAAATCTTCTCGGGCAATCAGCCGCGTTAGCCGGTTACTGTAGTAAACCGACGTTTCGGGAACAAACTCTGTCCCCATCTTCAGGGTTCTGATGTGACTGGATCCTCGGAAGTCGCCTGTGTAACTGCCTGCTCGGGACCAGTGCACGCACATGTCCGGACCCAGGCCCAAGGCCCCCTGGCTCCTTGGGCCTGGGTTTACTACGGTAACCAGCTAACGTGGCTGATTGCCCGAGAAGATTTTATTGAACATTCTGTTATGTTTGTATTACGAAGTCATACAGATCTGTCAATAGTCACGTAGTAATTTTTCATACTAGCATACTTTGTATGTGCATTTATTTTATACATTCCATTTTTAAACTAAGTTTTATATTTCAAACAATTTTATATAATTACCAAATTAAACAGAGTAACATTATATTCATCATTCTGGGTATATTGATACGTAAATACGTAGATGGACTAGGTGAGGAAAGTGTTCTGTTACAAATTAGCAAAGAGCTGTGAAGGTATATGATTGATTTTCTGATCATATTAGCCCTTTCATCTTCATGATACAACAGAATGGATGTTAAGTATAGAGCAATTCTTCCCCATTGGTAACTGTTATAAATGATATGCATATTTCTTTGCCTCTAAAACACTCATTAAAATAATGACATATTCCATTATTAGGTACCTTAATATTTTGATTGTTCAGTCATATGAGTGCCTGATCATATAAATAAGCTGTCACTCTTGGCAGCTACTTGTGACCGGTGAACATAACATCTACACTCTCCCGCACCCTCATCATCTAATGAAAATTCTCTCAAGAAACATCACTTCTAATGAGGCAAAAGATAAGTTTTTCATTACTATGCATCCTTTTTATTCATACTTCATCTCACTGCTCATATTATTACAGTATTACTTTCTGTTACTAATTTTATATGTACTTTATATGTTAATTGCGTCATGTTTGTGTTTTATTGATACAATATTTTATTTTCCGTCTATACACAAACTTAAAATAATGTTGTTTAAAATTACTTAAAATTATAACATTCTCAGTAGACACTGCATCTTGTTACATTTCTTGTATCGACGACATGTTTCAATGTGTATTACATCATCATCAGGTCTATCAATTTTAATATATTTTAAAAACTGTTGTACATCTTGCGTTGCGTATATTGATTAATTTGATTTGTTTAATTTTAAGTTTTTGTCTCTTCCTTTAAATTTGGAGGTTGTGCTTGGATGTTTTATATCTGTAAAATTAATTTTCAAATCGTGATTTTGGATATTGACATAGGAAATATAATAATTTAAAAAGTTATTACGCAATATAACGTAATACCATGTAAAAGAATCATATCTACTGAGAATGTTATAATTTTAAGTAATTTTAAACAACATTATTTTAAGTTTGTGTATAGACGGAAAATAAAAAATTGTATTCATATGTACTGTATTTTGGCTTTGGTATAGTATGGCCAATTGTGGGCTGTGTGGGAACCTAACTGCTGTTTACATAATGTCTGTGGGAACTCGAGTTCTGAACACATTTGTGATAATTGGGTACTTCCCATATGCGGTATAAGGGCAAAAGTATTGTCCAAAGATATATTTTGCGTTGGTGGCATACTAGAGTATTCCAACTTGAACAGTTTGTAATGACGTTAGTACAATACCGTTGCCTCTAGCATTCGTTTGTTTTAATTATGAATTCCACAAAGATACAATTGAAAGCTAAAATAGTGACATAACAAGCTTGCACCACTGAAATATGGTTTGATACTAGGAAATATATTTGTTTCACAGATAGATACTGAAGAGTAATTGATTAAAAGAACTTACTGACACCCTGGAACCAAAAATAATATCTCCAGTATTCCTGTAGCATTACTTATAGTTCCACGTATGTTATGAAGAAATTGTTTTATCGTTCCAAGGAAAACAAAAATTAAGATTAATGGCATTCCGTATTTCTATAAGTGACAGAACTAATTTCTTTATGTGAAGTATTATTATTGCGTTTGTAGTTAGGTCTTGCTGCTTCAAGTTGTGTTTAATGTTTTAAATTAAAATCTTACGTTTAACGTACAAAACCAATAAAATTGAGTTGATGTAATATAAAGTCATTTGTGATGGATTTTGACTGAAATTATTATCCAGCTGTTGCATAACTTTTCAAAAGATTGTGTTATAATTTCTATGTGTTATTTGTGTCCATAATCACGGCAGACTAGTCATGGGAACGTATCACTGTTCGCTGTAATCAACATGACAAGGGCAAACGTGTGTACACTACAAGTTCTAGCAATGTTCTAAAAAGTTGTCAAAAAATTAACAGCAAAATAATTTTATATGCAACTTTACAGGTTATGAAAAGTGCCATTATAATCAGTTTTCAGTGACAGTTTTAGTCAAAGCAAGTTTTAAATTACTTACATATACTTAATTTTAGTGGTTTGTATTGTTTATATAAAATGTTAATATATTGAGTGGACATTTTCACATAAAAAAATGTTTTATGCTTAGAAACAGGTGAACCTGTCTGCCACATAAATGACATATATATGCAGATTACATATCAGCATTCATGAAAAAAGAAGATTGCTTGTGGAAAGGACACATGAAATTTTTTCCATAACATTTATTGACCATACATACTTAAATATATACATGACGTTTTAATCATAATGATCTCATCTCACTTACCCCAGCAATCTTATAAAATCGGGGTTGAAAATTGAAAAATATTGCACGTGGTATGCCAGTTACGCTGAATTATTTACGTTACATGTTTCTGATCTCATTTAACAGACATCCTTTTTTCCTGGCTTTACTGGTCATGCGTCACATCTTGCACGTGGTCCGTCTGGACAAAAAGAAATGGGGGCAAAAGTCAGGAAGATGTTTCACCAGAAATTGTTTGAGGGTCAAAGATTACTTTGACCTCTTATATCATTTTTTTTAATGGTCTTGTCAAGTCTCCTCAAGCAGAAATTCAGAACGCTGGACATTGATAAAATATTTCTTAATTATCATTGTAATAAATCATTATTACTGAGTGGGTTGGTGTAATGGTATTGCTGTAGACTTCTGTTTGGTCATACCCAGTTTGAATCTTGTCCAACTTTATTCATGGTTTTCCTCTGCCTTTGAAGATAAATACCACTGAAGTACAAGTGACTGTCATTATACGCAGGGTTTGAATTCCCACAAATTGCTACATATGTTGAAAAGGCATAAAAGAGGAGATGTGACAATCATCATTTTGATGTTAAACTGGTGCCAAAATTCTTTGATATTAAGATAATCAGCTGCATCACATTCCCTGATAAGCCTGGAGAAGGTTTGATGCAGGTAATAGACTTTCAAATTTGGCTGCAGATAGGATATTCATGTTCCTCATGACATTGAAATAAAACCACAGATATGTGAAAACATGGGTTACAAGAGCCACCTCTATGTTGAAAAAGGCCACAACCACATCCTTAACACAGCCTTACCTGCTTATCATCTTAAATCTCATTAGAAAGGTGTATATAACCTGAGAACCAGTTAGTTAAAAAGCATCGTAGAATCATTATTCTTACAAATGGAGTGCCGAGAAATTCCATTGATACGTTCAAATGTGTAGGTGATGAAACAGTTTCTTCATTGTTTTTCTTCGAGTAACTAGCTCGTGCAGACTTCACTTTTCCACACACACAGGCTATTGGAGATGTTACTTTATTTTTTTTGTAGGATAATGTCACTTCTTTTGATGCATTGTCTTGTGATGCATTTGCAAATGCAAGTTTTCTTATTGCCTTACGGGAATATAATGGTGTTGCTATTATTAAAAATGGCACCGACTTTATTGGTGCTCTTCCCCCCCCCCCGCATTTGTATAGGGTCTCATTCAGTGGTGTACACAATCCATCTGCATGCACATTATATTATTATTACTATTATTTATTACTGTTACTATGTTTAGATACCAAAGTTGTGAAATTATTTGATTCATTACATCATTAAACATGATTATAGATATTATTCAGTATTTATTCGTCATTGCTTTGTGAACATTATCAGTTCACGTGATCATTGCTTAGACTTTGTATAAATATAATGTGGATTTATTTAAGTTTACAAGGCATTTATGACTATTTAATAATTACTATAATTGTGCTTTATTTGTGTAACTGATATGTTTCACTGCAAGATGATAGATGATTGTGGGATTGGAAGTTTTGTGAGTGTATATAATATTGATGTGTGTGTAGGCAGATTGTTGTGATTATAGTATACCATAACAATTCTTTTTCTTCTTAATATGCAATGTAGTGGTATAAATTTTGTGATTGTAATGAAGTGGAAACATTGTTTGTACTTGCTTTCAAAGGTCTACATATCTGATCTGAATAACTCCGAAAAATATAAATACTTTTAAAATTGTGTATTTTAGCTTTCACTTGTGTATATTTTTAAATGGCCAAGTTCCAAACCAACTATCCAGAATTTTTTTATGTATTTATTTTGTCACATTGTAAAACTGTCCAAAATTCTAATATTAAGATTAAGAATATTATCTGTATCTAAGGAAAACAATAATATTTAACCATAATCCATCCTAGAAATTTTGTCCAAGTGAGTCATACCGTTCCACTTTTAGAATTATCACCATAAAGTAATAGTCTATAAATGTTAAAAAATATAAAGTCATTCCATTCCAAAAATTTATTATTCAATCAAGAGAAGAATTTTTTAACTTCTCAGTCCAAAATATTTGCCATACATAAAGTAGACATTAGGTAATTATTAATATAATTCTTGGGTGTATGTATTGGTGTGTTAAATGTTTCAGTTGAAGTAAAACCCCCCTCTTCCCATTAGATTGCAAAGCATTGAAAAGTGAATATATAGCTATAAGCAGTGGTGACAGATGAACATCAGTACTAATTATCTATTGTATTGCAGAAGAAAAATATTTGTTTTTATCTTTTTTTTGTTTTTGCAGTGTAGAAAGTTCCAACAGCAATCAAACATGCAATAGTGGTTATGAAGTTAATTCTGATTTGTATATATAGAATTGCTATCAGTTTTTCTTATACATATATAGTAAGTAGGTAGTCTGACAGTAGTCGACCATCCAGACGTATGAAAATTAAAAACATTTTCCCATCACTGTGGAGGAAAATCCTCTTTACCTAAACCTTCTACAACCAGTGGTTTTATCATTTTATTAATTTGAAGCACCGTTATAATTTCTTCAAAGATTATGGAGTATTATAAATTATTAATAATTAATATCATACTAAAGTGAGCTCAAATATGTTACATTTTCTGATTGGGCATGAAAATGTTATTGTACTGAATTTGCTCATACTTTCTTGTCTTTAATATGTTTATTGGTTTTATTTAATGCAATGCCCAAGTCTTGTAATCTACAATGTATAATATTTTTATATATATATATATATATTAACATTTGTGTGAATTTTAAATAAAGAAAGTTGGGAATTGATAGCTCAGGTCAGTCTGAACATACTGTTAATTTTTTTTCAGGTCAGTCCAAACATATTGTTGTTTTTATTTTATTGTTAAAATATTTGTTATTGAATGCATGTGTACTTAAAAGTGCAAGATTCTGTTATCAGTCAATCAACAATTCTGTAACTTTGACAATATTATAATGAAATTATTTTACATACTTTCAAGATGGTTTTCTTAGTGGTGTAATTCGTTATTTATAAACTTTCTAACATTAAATACACTGGGATTTATCATCAAATAGATCTGTAATCACATCCAAGCAGTTCTGATTTTACCATAGATAATGCCACGAAGTTAAATTCGAGGATTTGTAATTGTGTAATCGAGATTCATATC